GTATAGATTCTCGGAAATACGCTCACCTGTATTTTGAGAGGTCAAAGAATGATTTTTAGGTTTCCTGCGTTAATACAGCATGGTTTTAAAAAATGTATACATACCGTACTTCAGATGACAAAAATGAAGTAAAAAATTAATTTTATTTATTCAACTTTTCAGGACCTAAACAGGCCTGATGTACGCTTATTTTTCCTGATCATTCCTAAAACATTAGTATCAATATCAACAATATTTTTTTTCATCCCTCATGGGGCGATTATAAAATACGGGACTGTATACACAACTGTCTCTTATACACATCTTACTGTGTTACTAATACTGTGTTACTAAAAAAATGGATAATCGGAAAGAACGAGGAAATCCGGTAAAAATTACGATAGATTGATGAAAAGGAGCGACAGAGGTCCGGGAATGCGCCAGGGTGGTAATGGATGGTGACCCCGAAGAGTATTTGCATCTTACTTTGCCTATCTTTCCCATCCATGTCAGTTCTGTCATAAAACAAATATACATAAAATCAATAAATAAATAATTAAAATAAAATAAATTAATTTAAAATAATAATGCAGAAAAAAGGCTGCATATAGGCCTACACTCTGCAGGTGGAAAACGGCGCCGAGAGCAGCTCTACCAAGAGATTGATACGTGCGCCTAAGATGACATTATTATTGTTATTACAATATTAGTAAATACAATATAGAATTTTTGTAAAAAGCCGCAGAGGAATTTGTCAAAAAAGAAATGGTTTTCAATGATGACATGGGTAAATAACCCTTTAACACCATAATCCCTCCATGACTGTCAGACGCACGCACTCTTAGGACTACTACAAATTGTCATGTAGGCCCGATGTTGCCGAATTATTGTATTTTTACAATGCATCAGGCAAAAATTCATTAGGTATACAGACCAATGGGTGTTGAAACAGAGAGATGTTGGTCCGGGAGGTTTTGGAATCAACTATGACGTATTTCACCACCACAATTATCTCGTACTCGTAGCACTTCAATTCTAAACATACAAAGTGATGGCCGTTATGTGAATAACAAAACGATTGCAACTACTTTATCAAGAAGTCGAGATTATTCTTACCCCTTCGCTGTTGTTGAACACAGCAAGTATTACCCATATTGAGTCAATCAGCAAAATCTGAGCTCATCAAAACTATCGTCCCGTAATAAACACATCAAAAAACTACTCATCGGTACCAACTTTGACGACACATTCCTGTAACTTTTAAACGAAATAAACGAATAATTCCCGGACAAATATTTTACGATGAGCTTTGTAGTTTAAGGAACTCATTGGGGCCTTCAACTTGCACTTGTCACTGAGCGGCCACGGTTCCCTAAACATCAATTGATAATTGGAGGGCCTTTCGAAGAGTTTATTCTTTTCACGTTTCCCACATTCTTTGTCATTCTTTAGTGAATTTACATGAAAATGGTGAGTGGTTTTGCATGATCAAGTAGTTAGCTTTCGCTCATTCGAGCATGGGCTTTACAAACACAAATATCAAAAGAGGTATAGAGAGACGGTTCACTGAACCTATTCAGGTGTGCATCTATCACTTAAGAGTTCGTTGGGCTTTTACGATACGCCTTTAACAGTCACCGTTATAATATGCCAACCAAATTAATGTAACCGATCACAAAACAAGGTTGTAGCCTACTGTTTGGATTCTCTGTTAGTCCTGCCTATGGTGACATTCTAAACCTTATACCGGCAAAATGTGAGCTGACATGGGTGGCGCCAGGATTTGCCTGACGCGGGGTGGGGTCTGATATCCCCAACAAGACAAGAGTGGGCGTGGCCGTACGTCGCTAAAAAATGTCTCGTATTAGTTAGTTACTTGTAACTTGTTTCACTTGCCTGTTATGACCATGATAATCTGGTCAATGTTGATCTAGACTATTATTTAATTAGTAAAGGTGATGCCCCCGAAAACTAAGACAATTTAAGGATTTCAAAGGCTTATTTACAATTTATATCTACTAACATGTAAAAAGATGTTTTTTTTTCCCCCCCGACAAATTGTTTTACTCCCCGACCAGGGAGCTCTCTCCAACAGGTGTCTAAAATCATTAACTAAATTCTAATAAATGTTTGTACTACCATATACAAGTTACAGGTTAAAAATTAATGCAATCCCTAAACCCATGGGCTACCATATGTTCTAGAATCTAACTCCATAGCCGTCGGAAGCATTTTGGAAGTGGTCCGGCCGGCCATTAGTGCATCACTAGTAGTACTAGTGCGAATGAAAGGCGGCCGGTCATTTAGTACGGTACGTCACTAGTAGTGCTAATGCGAATGAAAGGAGAAACTTGCTTTTTTTGTATAGATTCTCGGAAATGCGCTCACCTGTATTTTGAGAGGTCAAAGAATGATTTTTAGGTTTCCTGCGTTAATACAGCGTGGTTTAAAAAAATGTATACATACCGTACTTTAGATGACAAAAATGAAGTAAAAAATTAATTTTATTTATTCAACATTTCAGGAGCTAAACAGGCCTGATGTACGCTTATTTTTCCTCTGATCATGCCTAAAACAATAGTATCAATATCAACAATATTTTTTTTTCATCCCTCATGGGACGATTATAAAATACGGGACTGTATACACAATGATGATTTAAATAGGCCTAGGCCTATATATTTTATTCTTTATTGTGTAACGTTTTGTTCAAAATTGAATACCTTGTTATTCGACACAATTAGTGTGGCAAGAAAAGAGCTAAAAACAAACACTTTACAGATAATAGATTGGCCGCCACCGTGGAATGTCGTTCAGGGACGGATTTAGAGGGGCCCCTGTCCCCCCTTTTGGAAAGTCGAACACCAAAAACTGATAGCTCAAAAGGCCTTAGAAGGTATTTTCAGGCGTCCAGAACACAGAAATTTCGCGGAGGAATGCCCCCGGACCCCCTAGGGTATTGTTATCTCGATCGGCCTCACTTTCAGGGGCCCCCTTCCTTTTTGGACATCTCTGGATCCGCCCCTGTCATTCTATGAGTAGTCTGGTATTCTTTTATAATGTTATGATTTACCAGGGAACAATGAAATTGGATTTACGGAGTAACTGACTGACCCTTGCCTAAATCCCGGTTCACATTAGAATAAGCAAATAATATAGTAGGGGCGCAGCCGGGATCCTAACTTTACAGTCTAGTCTGGTATTCTTTTATGTTATGATTTACAGAGTAACTGAGTCACCCTTGCCCAAATCCCGGCGGGGGCCAGGGTCCCTGGTCGG